TAGCGTTTTAGCTAAAATGCGTGATCCGAGGATTTGGGTTGAGGGAGAATGCAACGAGTCGCTATATAAAGCAGCCGCAGCGCCGCTACCTGCATATAAACCGTGTTGCGGACACCGCCATGTTGAAATGACGCTATGCATTACGGGGCTCCCAGGGGCAGATAAGAGTTGGTCTCTCTCCGAGAATAATTATGAATTTAACAACGATTACTGCCTGATGACATTTTCCCACATCTGCAAAGCTCACTGGAAGGACACAAACCGAGGACAATATTTTCCTGATATAGGGTTTATTACTCAAGTAAGGGTAAAAAAGTATCTGATTAGAAGGCTACTTGAGTACTGAGTATCATCTGATCTAATATTTTTAAAATGATGACATCAAACAGACAAAAAATAAGAAGTTATGGGCAAATATTGGTATTTTAAAGACTAAAGGGGGAAATGTAAACAAATAAACAACATAATTACAAAATAACACATTTTAGGCAAAATTTAGACACAAACTGAGGACATATTTCCTGACATACAGGGTTTATTTAGTTGTCTCAAAATGTAGCACGTTTAAAAAAAATACCGCGACAATACCGAAAACCGTGGTAATTTTGGTCACAATAACCGCCAGGTTACATTTTCACACCCTGACAACCCTAGTATGTAAGTAAAATACTGTGTATGATCCCAAGTGTCCATTCTGGTAAGGATAGAAATTTAACAATTTTCTTTTGTGAAATCTAGTGAATGATGCTCTGATCAGCATCAATACGTTCATCATATACAGTATGGTCATTATCAATTGTTTTACTGGACAAAATCTGTGTCCCGTGTCCTTTAGCCCTAAAATAAATAATGTTGGCGTGAAACTCACTCCAGTAGCTCAGAGTACACGTGTGACATATAATTTCATTTGGTAAAGAATAACAGTCCCCTTCATTTTATAAAACTAAAATCTAGGGGTGCTCCAATCTGACCATTTGCTGTTCAGGAGATCATAATCGGTGGGGAAAATGAGATTTAACAATTTAAAACGACAAACAATAGTTTAGTAGTTTGGATGTATTTTTTAATGAAAAGCAATGGGAGTGTAATAAACACGTGTAATGTGTGCAAACTGGGCATTTAACGAGGTGGAAAAGGTTAGTGCTGCGTTCAACACTGGAAAAAAAAAACTGACCCTGCTTAGTTCGCTGCAGCATTTGAGCTAAGCTAGCCCGTACTAAAAGATAAACCAAGAAATGGTCTCCGGAAAGCAAAAATTCCAAGATAATTGAGCATTATCACACTCGAGGTCGTGCGTTGTTGCTGAATATCAGCACTGGTGTGATTAGGTCGTAAGCACGAGGCCGCAGATAATCACACCAGTGCTGATATTCAGCAACAACGCACGACCTCGAGTGTGATATTGCTTTTATACAACAGTTCTACCTGCTCATTTTATTTTAATAACAACAATAAGCAACAACAGATTATGTTTTTTTCATTTATTTTATTATTTATCAGGCTCCGCCAACACAAATAGTCCCAACACGAAACGGAGACGCAGACAGGGCCATTGCTAGGCAACACAAACATTTTCCACAAAGCACAGATACTTTGTATCATTTACGATTATCTGAATGTTTCCGTGTGACTCCTTTGAAAACGTTGTTAGCTGATACAAACTCTGGGTCCTGCATTAAATTCCATGAGCGGCTCACCGGCGGCTCCAATCCCGCCCGAAGTCCGAGTTAGCTGCTGATGCTGTAGGGCGCCCCAACCTTTCTCAGTGGCCTAGTGGTAGAGCATCCGCCCTGAGACTGGGAGATCAGGGGTTCGACTCCTGGTCGGGTCACACCAAAGACTTTGAAAAAATGGGACCCAATGCCTCCCTGCTTGACACTCAGCATTAAGGGGTTGGATTGGGGGGTTAAACCACCAAATAGTTCCCGAGCGCGGCTTGTCTGCAGCTCACCGCTCCCCCAGGGGATGGGTCAAATGCGGAGAATAAATTTCGCGCACACACACCTGTGTGTGTGACAACTAATGGGACTTTAACTTTAGCTGTCCGGATCGATCCATTATCCATTGGATATTTTAGAGATTGAGCCAAGTCTGAAAGCAGTTCAGAGCCCAGGCTGTCTGCCTCACAGTGCTCACTTCCTTTTTGCTCTTCTCTAATTCGTCGAGGTGCGTTGTTGACATGTCAGCACACCTGGTTTGCTCTGATGTATTCGGTCCGCTTTCTTTCCCTTCAGTGTCAGAGTCTGATGACCATTCATGTTGTAGATCGAATGTTATCCGAGGAAATACGTCCATCTTTGCTGTGCGAAGTCGGTCAAAATCCCAAGAGTTAACGGAAGTAACGTTAATGATTAACTGAGAACACCTGCGCACAGCGGAGTGATACTGTTTTGGGCCATTCCCATCTGTACCGGGTCGGCCCGGGCCGGGTAGCGTAGGTTGTTTACATATCTGGGTGGTCTGGTATTTTTCCGGGCCAACCAAGGCTCATTCTCAGCCCTCTTCTCGAGGGGGTCTGCTTCAGGCCGACCAGGGCCAACACACCCACTGCTGACAGCAAATTCACACCTTCCATTAGAGCAAGCCTCTGATTGGTGGGTAGAATCAGCCCACAAGGGCTTAAGGCAAGGATGTGTGGAATCAACCGGGCCAGGCTGGGGCCGACTGGGGCTACCCGGCCCGGGCCGACCCGGTACAGATGGGAATGGCCCATTTGTAAACAGTCCCAGTGCAGTTATAGTCCAATATCCGCACTCTTGGAAAGTCCCATGACCAATCATATCACTCGGTCGGAACTAACTGTTGTATAACATGATATTAATGACGGTGGATGAGCGTCTGTGGTTGCAAATGTCAGTTCTACAGTCTCCTTGGGTCGTGGTGTGATCTCCTTTCTTGTCCTGCTTTTACAAACGCAGCAGCTCTACAGGTGTTTTGTAGACAGCTGCATGATACACCGCCTTCAGATCAAACTATTTTCTCTTTCGGCTTTACCCTTCAGGCGTCAAATTAGCCAATCGTTAAATCCCAGTTTGCCACTAAAAGTCCCCGCACACAGCGTCAACTCCAACAACACGGAGCAAGCCGGCAGAGAAATATATGCTAATAAAGAGAAATTGCAGTCAGACTGCAAAACATCTGGGTTCCTTTGACTCCTGCAGCACCCAGGCTGTTAACAGATGTTTTGCAGTGAAAGTTCGCCTGCTGACCTGGCGCTCTGTGCCTGCCCTATCACAGGAACACCAATCACTCGATGCACCCACATATAGAGAGATTAAACTACTTGACTTATGAGCAACCAGACTACTTTTAAACGTATTCAGAATATTAGCATGTTTTTTTATCTATGTGTTTCACAAACAAGTGAAAGTGAAATTTAAAGGACAACTTGGATGTGTTTCCCTTTTTTCTTATGTTAATACTTTTCTGAAAAGTAACTGATCGGGACTCTGTGACATTGAAGCAGTTGACATAACTGCAAAAAGACGTGAATGAAGCATCCCTACTAAAAACCAAAATCTTTGTAGACTAAAACTTTTTTAGTTTCAGTCGACTGACTAAAACCCAAAATCATTTTTATCCAACAGACAAATAAAACTAAGATGCCAAAAACGTCAGTCTGCAATGTTTGTTTATTTTCCTGCTAGGCAAAAAAAACCAAAACATTTTCACCTGTGGTGTTTTATTAAATAAATCAAGTTTTTATCTGCAACCCTAGGGAGTGCACCTGTGGGATCTTCAAGATCGGGTGCTGGTGAGGAAGTACCAGGGTGTGACCCAGGGCTTCTACACCATCCACTCCTGCTTTGGAGGACACAATGAAGACTTCATCGCCAGTGGCAGTGAAGGTACTGTCAGCATGCTGCTGTGGTAAATAGGGGTGGGCGATATAGCCTAAAATCTACATTGCGATATCCTTTGAAAAATGTGCGGTAACGGTATATATTGAGATATATGACTTTCTTTTGTAATATATGTCAAAAACGACTGTTTCTAAACATACTCACATACCAGATACATTGCAGCAGCAGAATAAACACACTTGAAACAGTATAAAACACCATTTTAAGAAATTTTATTGTGCAAAAATCAAAAAGCTTTACGAGTAATATTAAAGATGTGTAACAGATCTTTTTCCAAATAATGGAACACACCATTCTTTAATAAAAAATGAAATTTTGGATATTTTAAATAAAAATACAAGTAAAAGTTGGCAAAACACAAAAGTTTTTTAAATAAAGTGGAAACCTCGTAACGTGGATCGAGTTTCTTAATCATGTCCCGAAAGCCGCTTTTCTCCACTGTAAGAAACGGCACCACGTCCTTACGCAGGTACGTGGTAAAGGCATTTGTAATATCAATCCACCGTTGATTATTTCTCTCATACTGAGTGCCTTTAGCAAATGCTTGTAAAATATCCATCTGCTGGTGTGTAAGACCACCTTTTTTCTTACCGCTCGACTGACTGGGCGTTTGTTGAGGATGCAGTTTTTGGCTTTCTTCGTATTCCACAAGGTCCTTCGTTTTGAGGTGGTAAAACTAATTAGATGTATTCCCTCTATTCGCTAATACTTTCTTCCGGCATACTTTGCAGATTATATTGTTCTGCTCCACATCCGACTCTTTAAAGCCAAACCAAGTCCAAACGACCGATGTTGCACCGGTCTTCTTTACGAGAACCACCTCCTCCTCCACCACAGGCTCCATGCTTTCAACCTCAACAGACGCCGCTTGATGACGTCATCAACATGCGCTACCGCGATAGGCCGATATAGTCAAAATCTCTACCGTTGGCCACATTAATATCATTTCTACCGTATACCGTTTATGCCGCCCACCCCTAGTAGTAAATCTGTGTTAGACCACGTGTTTTGTTGTGTTTAGGATGTCCGAGAGTCGATATCTTTCGTTTTCATCTTTATCCAGTCTTATTTACTTTCACTTGTATTGTTGTTGTTTTTTTTACCCCCTTTGTCCCTCCCATCAGACCACAAAGTGTACATCTGGCACAGACGTGGTGAACTTCCCATTGCCGAGCTCACAGGCCATACGCGCACCGTTAACTGTGTGAGCTGGAACCCGGCCATCCCGGGCCTCATGGCCTCTGCCTCAGACGACGGCACAGTGCGAATCTGGGGTCCGGCCCCGTTTCTCGACTCGCAGGAGACCGACGGGCTCAGTGGTAACCGCGGCGACTCCGTGTTTTATAGTTTTTTTGCTCAGCTCCTTAAGCACCGTTATAGTAATTATTTAAAATTTTCTCCTCAGAAAACTGCACCAACATGGACAGTTGATGGTCACTTACAAAGCAGACGACTTCTGACATTGACAACAATCCAAGAATCCCACAATAAAACAAAATGTAAATGGGCAACCAAAATTGAGCACCACCCAAAAGCAAGTGAAGAATAAAGTCACCAAAACACCAAGAAAACAAACGTGAGAGAATTGACCTCCAGCCTGGCCGATGAAAATGGTGGACATGATGATGGACACCGTGGAAATTTAAGACCTCACCAGAAGAAGAAAAAAGTCTGATCCCAGTCCAGAGACATGGAAATCCCATGGGATCATCACTGGTGAGCTGTAACAGCTGTTCTCGCTTCTTACTGACCCTTCCTCCTCCATTGTTGCTGTGCCATCATCAGACATGCCAGGCCCTTGCAAGTACCTGAGGAAGCCCGCCTCCTCTTTGATCTTGGAGCACATGGAGTTCATGTGACGCGTCCAGACAGACGGCACAGATCAGCCGTCTCCTCATTGCCTCTGACGTTACCTGTCTAATGTCTTCGTGGACAAGGGTGGGGAGTTGTTGGGGGAGATTGGTGCATGGGGGGACTTAGCAACTCTTCTGTATGTACTTTTTCCTCCTCCCCCTCATGCTTGCTATGTCTCTTGATATTCAATTGTTTGGACGAAGGCGGCAAACCCACCATAAAACATCGACCAACCAGCTGACAGAACACAAGTAGGCTATGTTAACTGTTGGAGGTTTGTTTTTTATGATAGTTCTAGCGTTTATTCTCATTTAAGAGGTGAATCTTAGCTCATGTAGTGCCCGTGGAAAACTTCTGTGTGAAGATTCCGCTTTTTGTTTTTCAACATTAGGAACGTTTTTAATCCATTAATTTAACTTCTAACGAGGACAGTCGCTGTTGTATTTCCAGCTGAACAACCCCCCCCCCCCCCCCTACACACACACACCCTGCCCCGAATAACTCCATCACATCTGCCCGAGAGGAGGACAGAGCGATCCACTGGTCACATATCATCTGTGAGGGTGTCACGCATCGCTGCCGAGGCGTGCTGCACGCTGTTGAGACGCATACCACGACCCGTTGCAGCAGAGACGCTTTCAGACATGAAAAATGTGCAACCTAAATTGTGCACCAATGACTGCTGTCCCTCCTGTGTGTGTGAGTGTGAATGTGTGTGAGAGCAATTGTGACTGTGTTTTTTTTTTTTGCATGCACACAGTAAGAGTTGATATTAACAGGTGCAGATTTAATTGGCGTGTATTTTTCTTTCTTTTTTTTTTTTTGTATGCGTGTTCAATTCACACCAGCAGAAGATACTCTCCCCCTCCCTCCCCCACACCCACCCTCCGGTAAAAAGGATTTTAAACCATCCCGAGTTATCCAAAGCCCCCCTGGGACCTGGATCTGTGAAACAAAGAATTATCAAGAGCCATTTAGTTAAATATTAAGTTGCTTTTTGTTTGTTTTGTTTTTATTGGGGCTTTACATTTTCCATTAGAATGTTCTGGAGGGTTTTTCTGTCTTTGACCATGAGGCATTCAAGCAGCATTGAGTTGTTGACATCGGATTTGTTGGATAAGGGTGAAAAAAGGTAACGAATGGAAACGGAGTGAGGCTTGGTTAGAAAATAAAGTTATAAAATGTGTTCGCGAAGGTTCCTTTTATAAGAGAAGCTAATGATTGTAACTGTTGGACAAAATGGTAATATGGTAAGGTAGAAGAGGCTCGCGTAGGCGGGGAGTGTTTGTGCTATCCTAAAACAAGAACAATCTGCTTTCCTGTTCATACAGTTGCACACAAAGCCCTCGGTATGGATGTCATCCTCACTGCACTTTTGAGCCGTCTTTCTGGTCTCTTGCACATACGACAGTGGCATAAATCCATGGAGTTTAGAGGCTTATGGTCGCCATGCTGGCCATTGTTCTGGCTTATGAGGTTGCATCAGTAAAGACTTAACAGGAGATCACTAAAGGAGCTGAGTCCTCACCCTGTCTATGCACCCAAAGGGAGTGACTGACCCAGACGTTATAAAAACCAACAGTCAGGGATGCCAGCCTCTTCTCCAGGGTACTAACTCTTGGAACTTAGAGAGTTCAGCATTAACAACCCCTTTGCTCTCCAGCCAAGTTACTCAGTGGTCCCTTCACCATTTAAAGCATTTTTCCTTCCCCCCCCCTTTTTTCAGGGTATGTTATGGCAGTTTGCTACAGACTGATACACAGTAAAATGTTTAAAACAGTGCTTTTCTGTCTGTTTTTATTGAACTTTTTCTTTTTACTTTCTTTTTTGTTTTGTTTGCATTATATCATTTTTTTGGTTGAACTTTATCCCTGTATGATCATATTAAAATATAACCAGACTTTTGGAGTCCTTTTTTTTTTGTAATCATCACTCTTATCTTTGTTATTATATAGTTTTGTTTGTATTCAGTTACATTCTATATAGCACCACTATAAATAAATATGCACATTAGCACCCATGCCAGTAGGAGTGCGAGGAGTTTTAGTTTGTTACCAATAATCGAATCAGGTTCTAATCATCCGCCCCTCGCCTTTAAAGAATCTCCTCGTTAAGAATCTATTGCATCTTTGTGTAATTGATCCCTCTTCCTTAATGTGCTGTTGTAGAATGGCAGTTGCTGCTTTTCTGATTTGTTTCAAAGCCAAAACCCAGATTTGCAGTTTTGTTTTCTGTGGGTTGTGTGTGTCATGGTGTGATATGCACATCCAAAGTAAACTCCTGGACCACAGAACTGGCCCCTCTTTAACACCCTACATCATCAACAGACTCGAGTGGGGTGGGGGGAGTCGTGCACACTAAAAAGTGTAAAAATAAAAAAAACATTTTCGTAAAACCCATCAATCACCTGCTGGTGGCAAATGCTATGTCTGTATGCAACCCGGTGTTCTCTTCGTTCTTTTGTCTGAGATTACCAAGGGAGTTGTTTCTGATTTAACTCTTGTCTTATTTCTCTGAGGTGGTGGTGGTGGGTTGGGGACGTAAGGGCTTACTGTAGCATCTCTAAGTTCCTTGGGCTATAAAGGGTGGGAAGGGAAAATGTGTTGGTTTGCGTTTAATTGTCTTATCTGAAAAAAAGTGATTGTACTGTTTTGTATTGTTGTGTAGGAAAAGTGTTATGTATGCATATTTTCAATAAAGCATTCAGGGTTTTGAAAAAAAGAGGAAGAGCCATGGGAGTTTGATGGTGCAGGCCTAGGTCTTAAGACACTCCTATCCAGAAAACCAAGCTTAAAAGTTTGTGTGGGTCTCGCTTACCCAAAAACTGCTGACTTGGCAAACAAGTAAAAATCTCCAGTGGAGAATTTTGAGTGGACATTTTCTGTCAAAAAAATTTATTTATAAAATGTATGAAAGTTGCATCAAAGACCAAATGGAGGATTTGGTTTGAATTCAGCACTACTGAGTAAAAAAAACAGTCAATCAACATAAGCTTTTTATTTCCAGTCAGACATGTTATTCATAGTTGTTGATTATCCATTTTGATACAAACCCTTGCAATGTTAAGACATAAAAGTGATACCTTTGAATATATTTACTTGGATATGAAGTAGTTGGTAAAAATATTGGAGATTAGAAAATTTCTAATTGTACTGAATCTGAAAACAAAGTTTATTAACATGTTTGTTGTGCTCACACCAGAAGAAAACCACTGAGATGCAAATTCAGTGGTTTCCAGTCCCCAAGTGGGACCACTACACAGCATGTTTTAGATGTTTAGATTGGACATATTTAAACATAACCATATTTAGCAAATAATTTGGTTTAATATGTCAAGGCTTTATTTTTAACTGCTACTGTCATTTATATAGCCTGAAAGTTGGATGAAAGCTCAGATTGTTGGGTTATTGTTCATTTTATATTAGCCTATCCTGCCAGTGAAAACATCAGGACAATGTGTAACATGTTTTTAATATTTCAAGTAATTTTAAAATGACTACAATGTTTAGCATAGCTTTTCGGGTTTGGTTGAGCCCCCATAATTTTTGTTTTGTTTACCCCAAAAAGGGGCGGTGCATCTGATCTGCGTCATCAGCACGTCCCGCCCCCGCTCGCCTCCCCTGTCGGGTCGTTTTTCAAAGCCGAAAGCAGAGTGCTGCTGAGGGCTCTGACCGTACGGACTGCCGAATCAGGTTCCCTAGGCAGTCATGGCGGCGCCGTTAGCCCACTTCGATGAGGACTGGCAGGATTTCAACGAATTCACGCCGTCCTCGGAGTCGGTCGCGCAGCTAGACAAGCTGAACTCAAACACGGGCGACCCGTCGGGCCTAGACGACTTGTCCGACCTGGACAACAGTTTCTCCGGGGAGATCTGCAGCTTCAAGTCGATGGAGGACCTGGTCCACGACTTCGACGAAAAGCTGACAGTGTGTTTCCGCAACTACAACACTACGACGGAAAACATAGCTCCTGTCAAACCCATCACAGAGGATAGCATCCTGAAGGACGACGAGTGAGTGAGAATTCATTTATTTAGTAGCGAGTTTCGTTTAAGATATTTTTTTATCTCACGGCTAGCTAGCTACTTTAGCATTATAGCTAATCCCATATCAGTGAGGGGGAGAATCTCAGCTCTGCAGTTTAGCTAGTTATCTCATTAAAATGAAACACACAGCACACTATTAGTAAACATGTGTATGAGTTACATACTACTATCTTATATAAGATATATTTTTTATAATAGTTGATTCAAACATTTACTTTCACCCAGGCTCGGTATGCCACGTTTATCTCTCACAGATGTTTAAAGATGCTTCTGTCTGCATCTGTTACTGTTGTTTTCTCCGTCGGAGATCCTCAGCAGTCTTTAGATCTCTCCGGTGCTTAAATGTCACAGCGACACATTCACATGGTATCGCTGCACAGCGGTCAGTCCCATCTATCCCGCAGCGGGCAGAAATGTCACGTTTACCGCACGGATCACCCCCATCCTGCCCTTTGCATCTGACAGAAACACCTCTGCGATCGCACCACATGACGCGAGCAAGCTGCAAACCGAAAACACGAATCGACTTTATTCGGAATCTTTATTATCTTGAGTAGTTCATGGGTATTGTTTATTGTTTGTGCATTTACAGGAAAGCTTCTGTACAGAATCCGACGGTTTTACATTCCAGCATCCTAAAATGTGTTCATCATAGACCCGTATGGTCACACGTGTGTTGTATGAGGTATGTGTTCTGTTGGTATGTCTGATGGTTGGTATGTAGGTTACATTTATTGATGCATTACTTTTGGAAGGAAAGTATTAATTATACAATTTTAAGTGCTTCATAAAAGGAGAACAGATGTTTCTGTTGGGTTATTATCTGATCTTTGGTCTCTACACACAACAAGTTAATCTAATCTAAAATGTCTAGGGCAAAAGTATTCCCAAAGGGCCTTGAGTAGCTTATTGTAATAGGAATGCGTTGTAATTAAAGGGGTTTTATTGTGAGGAGTTAGAATTGGACACATTTTGTGTTTTTGTCCAAAATTACTTATAAAATGATGATCTGGTGATCAGAATTAGCCGTGATTAATCAGTGATCGGCTGATGTGATTGCACGGCTGCTCAGAAAAATCAGACATTTTTCCTGGTCCCTTCCCCGGATAGAAAAGTCAAAGAGCCGAAATGCAGCAAGAGATATTTCCGGATGGCTGCGCTTTAGCTGAACATGTCAAACCGCTTAACAAGTTCCCTTTTGCAACCATGACTGAGATGAAACGCAGGATGACGAGAACGGAGTTCGTGTTTGGTGACGTCGTGGAAGTAACGTAGATTAATGTGTGTGGGGAGAAAGTGCAAACACCTAAATGTGACCACGTTCACTGAAACCAGTCCTGTTTTTAAATATAAACTCAGATGGTGACATGGAAACTGCTGGTGACTTCAGATCCTTCTGGTGCTCGGAGCAGAAAATCACATAAAGCTTCTCAGCAGGCTTTGCCCTGTTTAACACGACTCAACAGCTCGCCGAGCAGTGCATGAACACTTCAGGGAGAAACATGCATGTTATATAAACGTGTGTGTGTGTGTGTGTGTGTGTGTGTGTGTGCGTGCGTGCGTGTGTGTGACACATGGGCTCTCAGCACCCATCCTTCAGTGCTCAGAGCAAAAAGTAGAAAAACAGACTCATGACTGGACAGCGTTTGACATTTGGATTCATATGATTATTCACATTGTACAGGATCCCCAAAATCTGTTGGCAACTTGTGGTTTTAGTGAAAAAACATTTAAAACATTTGGAGTAGTTAAAAGAGTCTGCAGCACCGTCTGGCCCTTGTGTGTTTCTCTGCAGAAGTAAACACTATAATCTGTTGGTTTAACGTTCAACTCTTGAGTGCGTTTACATGCAGCCAGTAACCCTTTTAAAACCCGAATATTCACAATAACCCGGTTCCGCACGGCCATGTAAACACTGCCAAAAACCCTGATATGCTCATAACTGGGGTAACCCTTTTCTAACCCGAATGTTTGGTCGTGTAAACGCATACCGGGATATCCCCATCAAAGCGTGTGTTCTGCGCATGCTCTGTTCGCAAGGAAACTTGGTCTTTTGAGTAGCGAGACGTCTTGTATGCGCCAGAACACCGGAAGTAGACAACAACTTGGGAGCAACATGGCGAGTCGCGGCACAGCACCACACTTTTGGAGTCGGTCTGGTGAAAATTATGAACATTATGTCTTTTGTTGATGGCCGAAAGTACAGAGACAGCGAAATATGACGCATATTGCGTCTGGACGTAGTCCATACGTCCTGATGCTACCCCAACGTCCACATTTAAATCAGGTTATGCAAGTTAGGGGTAACTCTTTCTATTTATGCTTGTAAACGGGTTATTCTGATCAACTCAGAAACCCGAATACCGACCTTAACCCGATCATAACCCGGATATTGGCTGCATGTAAACGTAGTCACTGTTTCTAAGATCTTCGGCAAAAAGCAGGTTGTCAGAAGGTTTCGGCTGTTCCTGCTACTCGCCCCACTAATAAAGCTTAAAGAAACATGGTTAAGATGTTTTTTTAGTGTTGCAGCAGGAACACAGTAATGCTGTCTCACAGTGAAAAGAGAAGGAACCCTGGGCTTACATTTCTGCTGCTGAAACCCTCATCTCTGTTCGCTCACGCTTTTATTGTCTTCTTTGTTCCTTTTTTTAAGGGTGTGGAACGCTCTGACTAATAACTACGGCAACGTGATGCCCGTGGACTGGAAAACATCTTACACTCGCTCTCTGCACCTGCCTGCCCTTAAACTCATCGAGCATGAGGTACACACACGTACACTCAACAAAAATATAAACGCAACACCTTTGTTTCTGCTCCGAATTTTCATGAGATGGACTTAAAGATCTAAAATTCATTCCAGTTACACAATATCACCATTTCTCTCAAACAATGTTCACAAATCAGTCTAAATGTGTGATAATGAGCACTTCTGCTTTGCTGAGATAATCCATCCCACCTCACAGGTGTGCCACATCAAGATGCTGATCCGACATCATGAGTAGTGCACAGGTGTACCTTATACTGCCCACAATAAAAGGCCACCCTGGAATGTGCAGATTTTTGCTTCATTGGGGGTCTGGGGACTCAGAACCGGTCAGTATCTGGTGCGACCACCATTTGCCTCATGCAATGCAGCACATCTTCTTCACATAGAGTTTATCAGAATATCAATTGTGGCCTGTGGAATGTTGGTCCACTCCTCTTCAATGGCTGTGCGAAGTTGTTGGGAACTGGTACACGCTGTCGTATACGCCAGTCATGCACATCCCAAACATGCTCAACGGGTGACATGTCCGGTGAGTATGCTGGCCATGCAACAACTGGGACATTTTCAGCTTCCAAGAATTGTGTACAGATCCTTGCAACATGGGGCCGTGCGTTATCTTGCTGAAACATGGGGTGATGTTCATGGATGTACGGAACAACAATGGGCCTCAGGATCTCATCACGGTATCTCTGTGCATTCAAAATGCCATCAATAAAATGCACCTGTGTCTTCGTCCATAAACGATGCGTGCCCATACCATAACCCCACCACCACCATGGGCCACTCGATCCACAACATTGACATCGGCAAAGCGCTCACCCACACGACGCCACACACGCTGTCTGCCATCTGCCCTGAACAATGTAAACGGAGATTCATCCGTGAAGAGAACACCTCTCCAACGTGCCAGACGCCAATAAATGTGAGCATTAGCCCACTCAAGTCTGTTGAGGCGACGAGCTGGAGTCAGGTCAAGACCCCGATGAGGACGATGAGCATGCAGTTGAGCTTCCCTGAGACGGTTTCTGACAGTTTGTGCAGAAATTGGTTGGTTATGCAAACCAATGGTTTCAGCAGCTGTCTGTGGCTGGTCTCAGACGATCTTGGAGGTGAACCTGCTGGATGCCGAGGTCCTGGGCTGGTGTGGTTACACGTCGTCTGCGGTTGTGAGGCCGGTTGGATGTACTGCCATATTCTCTGAAATGCCTTTGGAGACAGCTTATGGTGGAGAAATGAACATTCAATGCACGAGCAACAGATCTGGTTGACATTCCTGCTGTCAGCATGCCAATTGCACGCCCCCTCTGTGGCATTTTGCTGTTAGACAAAACTACACATTCCAGGGTGGCCTTTTATTGTGGGCAGTATAAGGTACGCCTGTGCACTACTCATGATGTCGGAACAGCATTTTGATGTGGCACACCTGTGAGATGGGATGGATTATCTCAGCAAAGCAGAAGTGCTCACTATCCCACATTTAGACTGATTTGTGAACAGTGTTTGAGAGAAATGGTGATATTGTGTATGTGAAATGAATTTTAGATCTTTAAGTCCATCTCATGAAAAATCGGAGCAGAAACAAAGGTGTTGCGTTTATAGTTTTGTTAAGTGTATAACATTTTTTTGGAAAACTGCCCTGAAATGACACCTCAGAACTTCTTGTCACCATGTGCCTGCAACGGTTCATCATCTCTTATTTCTGCATGGACTTTTTGGATCGTTTATTTGATTCTTAATTTGGAGATGCTACATGAAATAATTAAATGTGTGTCTTAGGTCTAGTCCACACGTAGCCGGGTTTTTTTAAAACGAATATCCGCCCCTCCAAAAACTTGCATCCACACCACCTCGTTTAAAAACAAACTCTGTCCACACGTACCCGGATAAATACGTTGTTAAGGACATGCCAGACCTGTAGGTGGCAGTACTTCCCCCGTTCTTAACCTCGTCCTTCATCTGTGGTCTTCCGCAAGGAGCAGTAATTCCGCTTGCAAAAACAAACAAGCAGAAAGCGCTTGGACAATTGATAAAGCGAGCGCAGCTCTGAGGGCATCCATGCTGTCGGCTAGTGTAAACACAGGTCGCACACGTGATGTCAGCATTTTTTGTCGCGGAAAGTGACGTTGCAGACCTTAAAACTCCAGTTTTGTCTGTCCACACGCAGACACCCAAAACGGAGAAAACGCAGATCTTCACTTTGGCCGGAGTTTTTAAAAAGATCCGTTTTCGTGTGAAAAAACTCCGTTTTCGTGTGGATGACAGGCCAAAACGTAGAAAAATATCTACGTTTTGGCAGATCCCCGGCTACGTGTGGACAGGGCCTTAAATCACATTTAAGATATTTGACAGAATGGGTCAGAACATCTAAAGCAATATATTACGTCCAACAGGCATAAAAATGTTTTTCTGGAGCATTTTTTTGTTGCCCAATTGTTTGAAATGTTCTTCACTTACGGCCAATGAATGAAACTTTTTGTCAAAAGGAGAAATAATTGTCATCGTACAATCCTGAGCATTCTATTCGTAATGGCTGGATCGTGTTCCGCGGCTGCGGCACGTTAGGAATTATGACAGGAAATGTGCCGATAGCGGGTCAAAAATGTAAGTTGATGTACGTTTTTATATTTGATGGTATCCACTGCGTCCAGTGTTGTGCTATTTTCAGCAACCATCAGATTCCAACTCCATGGGTAGAGCTTGAAGAAAGATGGTTGAATTGTTTGCTTGAATGGCTGATTCCAGAAAGGGCGACTTCGCCTGTCAGTTAGCGTAGCCAAGTGTCCCTTAAGACGAGCTACACCCTGTGCAGTTCCCCTCCTAAACTGTTGGTGTCGTTACAAGGAAAACGTCTACAGAGCAGGGATCTCATTTATCAAACATTGTGTAGAATCCTTACTAAAACCGTACTTAAGCTCAGCAAAAAAAAAAAAGTACTTACGCCAAGCAGGTGTGTGACCTATCAAACATGGAGGACGCACAGCTGCACGCAATCTCCGCTTCATAAATCGGAGACTAACGAGAATGTTTCTCAGCTGCATTTTAGTCACATCCCGCCCTCACCACGCCCACTTACTGCCATAAATAGTCAATGGAAAGTGCCTTGTGGATCTCATGCATATACATAAGCCGGCTGTTGCAGCGCTCCACCAATGACATGGTGACCGTAGATCAAGGCAGATCAAAGAAGCGCAATTTCACAGAAGCAGAAATTCAGGTACTTGTGGGTGAGGTGGAGAAATGAAAGGAAGTGCTTTTGCAAAACAAATAAGAGAAAATCCACGGAGTGGCACAGCGTTGCTGAAGCCGTCAATGCTGACTTCTTCAGAGAGATCTGTGGCGGATACAAAAAAAATGGTCCAATTGGGATTCGATCCCCAAACTCCTGGGTGAAAGTCACGCACGCTAACCAGTCAGCCAAACGGAGATCTTCCCTGTACAAGTAGCCAGGTCACATGATCAATCGGGTCACAGTGACAGGACACACACCGTCACAGACGCATGACGTTCTGTCTCAATCTGTCCCCCTGCTGATATTCTGCGCTTCAGGCTGTGTGTGTGTGTGTGTGTGTGTGTGTGTGTGTGTGTGTGTGTGTGTGTGTGTGTGTGTGTGTGTGTGTGTGTGTGTGTGTGTGTGTGTGTGTGTGTGCTTGTGTGCGTGCTTGTGTGTGTGCGTGGGGGGTCTTGTTCTGTGTGCAAACGGAGCGGTACAAGTGATAATGCTGCAGGATTTCATAAGTTTATCTTCTCAGCAGCAGCACTGCAGGTGCTCTCCATGTCCAACATGTGTGTAAGCCAGGTCCTTCGTCAACTTAAAGTTGCGCACATTTTTCCGCTAAGTTTTCTTTCATAAATCCCAAAGTTTGTGTGGAAAGTTGCTTACGCAGTTTTCCGACCCTGTTTTGTGCGTAAGCAAGCTCGATAAATGAGGCCCCGGGAATGGACCTCGGAGTGAAACAGGATGTTTATTCTTGAGCTGCTGCTGAGTCGCACAGTGTTCACCCTCCCTGCTTCAAAGCTGCTCTCTTTGTTTTTTCAAAAGCAGAATTTAAAAGTTCAAGCGTTCAGCTCCAAAAACCTTTAAACTCGCTTATCTGGCTGAAGCTCACATGTGGGCTTTATGTCAAATCGATTTTTCATTCAATTTTTAATTTTCTTGCAGTTTAAAAGCATAATAACTCAGTTTGGGCATTGACAGCTGAGGAATGTAAACATCAGTCTTGACCTCTGACCCTACCTCCCTCCCAAAGGGACAGAAGGTCGATAACCAGCCGTTGGATCTGTCAGATGATGAAGATGATGAGCTGAGGGAGCAGCTGGACATGCACTCCATCATCGTGTCGTGCATCAACGATGAGCCGCTCTTCACAGCTGAACAGGTAACCACATCGAACACGGCGCCTGCAGGAGTCGCCGTCCTGCATCGGCTTACTGGTAACGTTCAGAAAGACTTCACGTGTCTCCGTGGCCGCGCCAGGTCATCGAGGAGCTCGAAGAGATGATGCAGGAGTCTCCCGACCCCGACGACGACGAGAGTCCCTCCCAGTCCGACCGGTCCGTGCTGTCTCAGGACCTGGGCGCTCTGCAGCGCTCCGGCTCCAACAGCAGCTACGAGGAGTGTGAGTACCACTGCACGCACGTGCAAACACGTCAGCGGGAACATCTCCGTCTCGCGCGTAACGTGCTTGTGACACATTTCACAGTTATCTGAATAATGAGGCAAACTACAAGCGGACCAGCACATGCTGTGTGCACGTGATGATGCTCTCATGTAATCGGTGGCGAATGCTGTGTGTTGTCCCAAACGTTACGTAATCACATATAATTAGATGACCTGAATGTCTAAAGCACCAAATGGTGATGTTACATCATACAGAACATTTGTATCTATTATTATTTACATACACGTCTTCCTGTGCTCCTCAGGTCTGCGCCAGCTGTCCGTGTCGGAGCTCAACCAGACCCTGGAGGAAGTGGAGGCCGCCATCCGCCGCTACAGCGAGGAGCTGATCCAGGCTCTGGCTCTGAGAGAGGAACTCGACTTTGAAAAGGAGGTAACCAGGATTCGATCGCGATTTGGTTTAGACTCATAGCTGGTTGGAGGTCAAAGAGTCGCTCGCATGTTTATTTTTGCCTTTGAGTAGTTCTGACGGGATCCCAAAATAGAACCCTCCAGGCGGAGGGAATAAGTGGAATAGTTCAGACTGAGAATTCAACAAAATACCCAGAAATAACAAACAGAAGCTCAGTATCATGAAAACGATTCACCAGGAAGCGTTCGTTTTTCTGATTCCCATGCAGCTCTGGCAGATTCTGGCCGATCATGATTCATCCTAAAGAGCTATAACAAAAGGACCGGTTGATGAGTTTGGAAGTAAAACTTCATTAAGGACTTTCAGATTTCCCAGTTATGAATATTGGCTAACTCTGATTTTACGCTCATCTTCAACAGTTTGCAAAAGTCATGGCGGCGTGAACTCCTTCAGCTGAAATCATTTCCCTTCAAACCAAAGAACGTGCGACTGAAGCGACATCTTGACGGGCCGATTTAGGGCGGCTCAATTCATCGAATTTTAACCACAATTACAATCTGAGTTTTGAACGATTAGAAAACTAAAACGAGCCGATAATTTGCTCCTCCTTCTCGCGCTGCTCCGTGTTACAAATCAAGCGCTCGTCCCACCGCGTTGCCAACTTTGCGACTTTTCAGACCCTCTTGTTGACTTTTTAAATCCTAAAAGTACCGTGCGAACAACAAAGAAGCATTCTGGTAACCCTGCAGGTTAGCTAAACACTCAACCTGCGCTACGGACAGACCTTCCGTACATTAGGGGAAGGGGAGGTGTGTGTCGTGATAGAAACAGCTCACAGAACCGGCTCCCTCTTGGGTGGCCAGAGTGAAAAAAAAACTACAAAATGTGTGCGTGCGGCATGTTGAACACTCACATGCAGCTTGCCCCTGCGTTGCTGTGAGATGGGGTTGGGGGGTGGGGGGTTGCAGCACACCTCCCATCGCTGCCTGGGACAATAATTACATGATGGCACCTGTTAGTAAATAGTTTAGAAATAGATAGAATTAAATTTCTCACACTGATAAATATTAACTCTTCTCTCTGAGCGACACGTTGCTGGTTCACTTCCCTACAGCACCGCTGGATGGGTCTAAATAATTATTACGCAACATTTTAGTTTATATGTTTGTATTAATTTATATTACAAATGCACTGTATGATTCTTGCTGTCAGTGTTTGCAAGCTTGGGTCTGTACTGGGCACGCTTAAATAAGTGAAATCTCAGCCTCATAAAGAATGAGCAATTGGCCTTTTTTATACTATAGGAGTCAGGAGTTGTTTTTGTGATTATTTTGTTTCTTTTTCTTGCTTTTTGTTGTCCTGATTGTGTCGTTTTGCATTTTTATGACAGAATAAATAACTAAATGGATAAATAAAATCAACATTAATTTAAAAATCCTCTTAAATAATCGAGATTTCAATTTCAGTCAAAAACAATTGTGATTATCATTGTTGCCGTAGTCGAGCAGCCCCGGGCTGTTTGGTGGGTTATTTCAGGAGCTACAGCAGAGCGTTGTCTCCGCAGGTGAAGAACAGCTTCATCTCGCTGCTGATCGATGTGCAGAACAAGCAGAAGGAGCACCGCGAGCTGCTGCGGAAGAAGAAGAAGATCAGGAGCACGACCACGACGGGGCCCGACGGCCAGAGGACGGTCAGCATGCACATACCGGGCACGGTGAGCTGAAAACACGCACGCAAACACACACTCACACACTCCTATATGAGGAGGGGTGATGCGTCCCGCTGTCTGGGAGGGTCGAAGCCTTTTTCTTCTTCATCTTCTCCTCCTTCCTTTTCCTCCTCGTAGCTCCTCACCCTGGAGGGACTCTCCAGTGTGGTTCAGAACAGCCTCCGTCAAACTTTTGGCTCTGCAGGAGGGGACAAACAGGTGCCCCCCCCCCAGTGATCTGCTGCTTCCTTCTCCCATCCTCCGGCATGCTCACATCCGTTATCTAGTGTCACCTTTTCTTTACTCCTCACAGCACTTCTTTGTTTTCCACCTGTAACGTTCTTTCAGTTGCTTTGTTTTCATTTAAAATCTTTCTCTGTTTGACCGTTTTGGTGTTAAAGTCGTGCTACTGATGCAGCTTTTTATTTTTGTTCCAACATCACAGCTGAAGTACGATCAGCGGCTCATGAAACGTTCAATGTTTTAGTGTTTTCTGTGGGGTTTTTTTCTCAGTATTTGACCACGGTGATCCCTTATGAGAAGAAAGCGGGTTCTCCGTCTGTAGAAGACCTCCAGATCCTCACAAAGAGTGAGTCGGATCAGCACCACACAAGTCCAGACACCAGCTATCTGTTTAAACGTTTGTTTTTCCTCTCCACACCAGTCCTCCACGCCATGAGGGACGACAGCGAGAAGGTTCCCGCCCTCCTAACAGACTACATCCTCAAAGGTAAACACTTGCACCTGCTAACCCATGCTAATGTTAAGCAGGTCCATATGATCTCCTTATATGACCCAAAGATCATCAGAGCACTTAATCTGAAGCTAGTTGTAAATAGGAAACTATTTAAAGGTTGAATGCATAGAAACATATCTCAGTTTGGCGTAGCCAGACATGCTGCTAGGCCTCATGTCTAGGGTCGTCACGGTGTGAAAATGTACCCTCGCGGTTATTGTGACCAAAATTATCACGGTTTTCGGTATTATCGCGGTATTTTTTTTAAACGTGCTACATTTTCAGACAACTAAATAAACCCTGTATATCAGGAAATATTGTCCTCAGTTTGTGTCTAAATTTTGCCTAAAATGTGTTATTTTGTAATTATGTTGTTTATTTGTTTACATTTTTCCCCTTTAGTCTTTAAAATACCAATATTTGCCCATAACTTCTTATTTTTTGTCTGTTTGATGTCATCATTTTAAAAATATTAGATCAGATGATACTCAGTACTCAAGTAGCCTTCTAATCAGATACTTTTTTACCCTTACTTGAGTAATAAACCCTATATCAGGAAAATATCGTCCTCGGTTTGTGTCCTTCCAGTGAGCTTTGCAGATGTGGGAAAATGTCATCAGGCAGTAATCGTTGTTAAATTCATAATTATTCTCGGAGAGAGACCAACTCTTATCTGCCCCTGGGAGCCCCGTAATGCATAGCGTCATTTCAACATGGCGGTGTCCGCGACACGGTTTATATGCAGGTAGCGGCGCTGCGGCTGCTTTATATAGCGACTCGTTGCATTCTCCCTCAACCCAAATCCTCGGATCACGCATTTTAGCTAAAACGCTAACGTTAGCTTGCCTTGCGTTGACTGTAGAGTTGTGGGTGATGGTCACGCAGATGTGTCATGAGATTTGAAGCGTTGCTGCCTTTCACAGACACTTTTTCTGCTCGTGCTGCAAACAGGATAGCTGTCTTCTATCAGCTGTCCCTCGGCATTCTTCAGATATCCAAAAGATGCCCGTACTTCCCACTTTGTCTTCTTTGAGGGATAAAAAATGTCCTCCTGAGCGCTGCCGTCTCCTCCTTTGGCCATTATTTCAGCTTTAGCTTCAAGAAAGTTTTGGTTGTAAACAACAAAGTGCGCATGTGCCGCCGGCAACTTCAGCAGATGATACGGTGGCTGGTAAGGGTCACCGCGCCTACACAGCAGCCACGGTAATCCACCAAGATAATATAGTTTTTAAAAACAAGACGGTTATTATTTAGGGATGTAAGAAAATAACGATATGGCAATATATCGTGATATTTTTTCCAGCAATATTATATCATTATTCAAAAGCTGTGTATCAGAAATGTCGATATGGCAATATATCGTGATATTTTTTCCTGCGATTCTTACATCGATATTAAAAAGCCGTGTATCTAATTCTTGAAAGAATTTACATGCAAACATTTGTGTATTTTCTTTTTGTTTTGTGCAATTCAATCACCACCCGCTAGTTGGCAGCAGTGTGCGACGGGTTTTGTTTCCACCATTGAAATGTAAATCCCTCCATCATGGTTCAGATACCTCATGTTAAACATGTTACGTATCGGTTTGGACTGTTTATTGAACATTCTTACAATAAATTCAGTAAAAAAAAAATTGCTTGTAACGTCTGACTGAATGTATCGCAATATATCGTGATATGTCGTATCGCCAGAATTTCAAAAATACACATCCCTATTATTATTGTCAACTTTTACCGGGGTTTACCGCTACACCGGTCACCGTGACAACCCTACTCATGTCTACAATAAAAAATACTTTTTAACCTATTATTTTATCTGGTTTATTTGGAATTCGTGACCATGAATACAAACGATAATGAAGGAACACCAAACCCACCATACAAACACATTTATGATGTTTTTTTTCTTAAAATTCACAACGAAAAATATGTTCATAAAATAAATATGCAAAAGTAAAAACCAACAACTTTACATTTTTATTTTATCCCCATCAGATATTAAGATATTAACGTTTAAAACTTCTGCAGTTCTGTGTCCCACGTAGACCCTCTGGGATCCGTCTGCTGGAACCGCAGCGTTTTGGTAAACTCCACATCCAAACCTGCATATTTCCTTCTGGATTCTAGTCATTTTCTTTCCATTTTTTGTGTTTTCTAATCTTATTCTTCATTTTTAAACTCTAGATCTGTATTTTTTTTTTTTATTGTGATATTTTTTGTGCTTGAGTGATTCATCCCTGTGTATCGCGTCATGATGCCAGTAATCAGTGTTATCCTGAACGCCTCACTTCCTGATTGGCCAGGAGCTCTGGATCATGAGTTGTTGTTTTTTTTTTCTTCACTTTATTTTGCTAATCAAATACATTTGCCTGTGCGTGGCTGCCTGGAAGGAAAAAACAAACATCCTGGTGCGAAGCGTGAATCGGACGCGAGCCGTTCGCTTCACAAAAACTTTGCACGATTTTGAAAAAGAAGATCACAGGGGGAACCGTTTGGTTTAACGTGTGTTTAGTTGTCGCGCGTTCGTTTGTGGGTTTAAAAAGGCTGAATGTGGATGTTGGAATATTTGATCCCATCGGGACAAACTGCACAGTTTCAGATGTTTTTACTGTTTAAAAAAGGGTCAAAAAGGGTTGAAGCGATGGCTGAATGATCAAAAGTGTAAAGCATATTTTTGAATCAGTTTTTTAGTAAGAATTGAGATGTTGTAATTATTTTTATGTGACCCTATCAGACCTCAGAGAGACCTCACCCCACTAGAGTTTGTATTGTTAGGTTAGTTTTACATCAGGTGCTTGGCTGGATGTGGGCATCATCTGTTATTTCACCTGTAAGGATGTTTTAGTAGCACTTTTTACACAGTAAGTGATCCGGTCATGTGGTACCGCAGAATACGACGGGCTGTTAATCCCCACACTAGATACAAGAAATCAGTTTAAAGGAGTATTCCAGTGACTACTTTAGCTTCTCTTTTTTTTTTTCTTGTATAAAATTTGAGGGAAAACTCGTGAAGTGTCACCAAAACCCTCATCGTGAACTTAAAGGAGCAGTTTGGGCAATTCTAAACTGTGAAGTACGGGAATAGATCCAACAGGACTGATGAGCTAACGTCTAGTTCCTGTACAGCCAAGGCCAAAGGAGTATTAAGCTTGGTTTATGCTTGACGCATTCACTTTCCGTGCGGTGATGCGGCTCGCGGATGGAACGTGCTTCACAACTCGCAGCTTTTATGGTTCATGCGGCTCGTCTCTGCGGTGAGCCAATATTCTCCCAAACTGTAGGGGGCAGTATGGAGCTCTACGGCATGCATCCAACACTACACCATAGTAGAAGTAGAAATTACTGTTGTTTACAACATGGCATTTCAGCATTTTTAACAGCGTTCTCATCTTTTCCGACAGTGCGAGCTATTTCTCTCCAAGACTTATAAACATGTTGATCACGGTGATCTCTGAGAATCATACAAATGTCTGTATTTACGAACCTCTGCCATACTAGTTCTTGCCGGTCCACCATGTTTTTCCGCGTCCGTCCGTCCGCGTGGTTAGAAATTTTCCGAGGTGCGCGTTGCGGAAATTTTGGGCCGTGCGGAGGCGCGGTGGAGGGGCGTGGTTGTTAAAATGACGCAACTTTTCCGTGCGGACCTCGCGGACGCGTCAAGCATAAACCAACCTTTAAATGCCTGTGATCCTGGATTGTCATGGCGAGTTGATGCAAACTTAATTTAAAAAAAAATCCACTTTCACAATTTTAGAACAAATGGATTATGGTGAATTTACTTGAATTTTGCAGCTTCAATTTTTCAAGTTGGGGGTTGGGGGGGGGGGGGGGGCAGGGACACGGACAACAAATCTGTGAAATTTTGTGCAGTTTTATTACATGTTTATTACATGTTTACAATTTGTTTGAACAGTAATAAAAAGAATCGTACCAGACATTGCTGAAGTTACACATGTTCTAAGATACGTTATTAATCCCAGAGGGAAATTAGAGTTTCAGTACACACAATTCTGAGATCAGACATACATACATGGGCAAAGACATGACAAGAATTGGTGACTGTGTTGGTGACTTGTTTACGAGGATAGAGTCAGGTGGAGGGGAAAAAAGGCACTTCAGTTACCCTCCACAGGGAGGGCAGCTTTGCTATGCAAAAAAAGCACCTCAGACAGAAATGCAACAGACTTCAGACATCACACAACACAAGTGTCCACTAGGTGGGGTGGTGGAGGTTGGGACTCTCCACACGTCAGTGCATGCAGCCGCGATAAGCGGCGCATGTCACCTCCGTTTGGACAGGGGAGGGAGGTCGTTGGGGTTTGGAGGGCACAGTGACTCCTGGAACGATACAGCGGCCTTCACAGCTCGCAGTCCCGCCCAGACTGGGATAGGGAGACAGAGTTGCCATGGCGACGGCAGCATTCCACATTTCTTCTGAAGGGGGAGGATTCGTTTCAGCCTCACAGGCTCAAGGGCACCAGATTCAGATTAGAAATTGTTTTGGGGCCAGACAGAGATAATTTCCTCTCTGTCTTAAAAGTTCTGTTGGTCCTCAACCTCTCGAAATCCCAATAATGGCGTTATTAATCTATCCCAATCCGTGCTGATTCGTCCACTCGCTCCTTGATCACATCCGTCTTTTGTGCCAACGCACAAATCTCGGCCAAAGTTCCAAGCTTACGACTCATCTCGACAATTATATGAGTTTGTGCGTTCACAGCGCGGTTTAATCCATCCCTGAGCTCCGGGAAAGAGCCAATATTGCTCGACAGCTCGTTAATTTTCCGGTAAGCCAGGTAACCGCTCAGGCCAAACAGCAGGAAACCTGACACCAACAACATGAATATCCAGACGTCTTCAGAATCCTCTACAGACAGCTGAGAGAGGCAACTCAGGCTCCACTGTTTCCAGGAGTCCATGATGTGTCCAGCTGGATCTGTCCCAGATGGGCACCCGGGAGCCCCTTCTCCCGTTCTCATCGTTGAAAAAATGTTG